TAGTCTGAGCATCAAAAGCAACCTGTTAATCATTTGAGAGTGAAAGCAGGTTCCAAACCCTTGTTTGGATTTTGGTGGTGGAGCAACCCTCTGGTTTACATTTGAATCATGGACTGTGCCTGTGAGTTTAACAGAAGCCAATGTGAAGACTTTGGCCTGTTTTGATCTGTGTTTACCAGCAAGTTCACGGGTCAGGACCTCTGAAGTAGTTTGTAGTAGTGGGACCATTCACCCTCTGACAAGTGTTTATAGCCATGCAGTTACAAAGGCTGTTAACTGACCCTAAAGGTGTTGTGCTTTTTAAACACTAAAGCTATTAGAATGTAGGTCAGTACTGTCATGTAGAAAGAGGGATCATTTTCCTCAGCACTGTGTGATCGCTGGGGTCACAAAAAGGGAAGTGAGAACTGTTTTACTCTGCAGTTTTGATTGGCACCGTGGTTTCCGAGCACAGAGTTTGCCACACACAATTCACCAGAAATCCCATCCATCTCCCCGCGGGCCCCAGCCCTTCTGACACAGAACTGATGAAAAACAGAAAGGGAGTGAGCGTGGTGAGTAACTCTCAGGGTGCAGATAGGAGCCCGGCATCAGTCAGTATAGGCTCAGTATGTGTAGACAGGGTGAAGAGGGCTAGTGGTGGGGTCAAAATTGTGTTTAAAAGCAATTAGTCTGCAAGTTGGAGTTATATTTGCTGGGGACAAGAAACCCAGTGTATATCCCTTTAAAGGGCATGGCAGGCAATATTATACATTTTTCTTTCTGACAACAAATCCCTCCCTTTGTTCCTAGTAAATACATTAACCTTTAAAAACAGGTCACAAGACTTCAAAAAAAAAAAAAAAAAAAGGCTACATAATTTTCCAAGATGGTGGAACACAGCAGGCATCTGTAGTTTTTAGCAAACGTTATTCAAACAAGAGTACGCAGTGTCTTGGAGATTGGCTGCAGAATAATTCACATTTGGTGGTAAAGTGAGTAATTACTGCAGCATTATGGTGTATGTGGGACTGGATTAGAATAAACAACAGAGCTCTCTCCACTGTAATAAAGGCACAGTGTGACTCATTAATGTTTTTAATCGTTTTTGGACAACACTATTCAGACAATACTTATATATATATATTATAGTAAATAGAATATTACCTTATCAGCCTTATCACTTAAATTATTACTCTTAATTTGTAAAGCGTAAAGAAAGGACGTTGGTTTTCTATTACACAAATGTGTATTGAATAGTCCATATTTTCATGTCGGTCATTACTGTTAACTTACTGTCACTCTGAAATCAGTTCAAAATCAGGTTATGGCCTCCATTCCCACTTGTTTATTTTGTCTAGTTAAACAGAATGAGAGGACTACTGAACACACTCCCATGCCAAATCATGGAATAATCAAATTCAACATGAGAGGCAAATAATTTGATGAAGGACACTCTCAGACAAAATGACTGAGGGGCAACAAAAAGAGCATTGTCCATGTTGTTGAGGACAAACTTCAAAACAAGAGGCCAAACACAATGCTATGACCTCCGAGGTTAAGCACACAAAGGAGGGAGATTTCAGATTGGCTGCCGTCACATGATTGGCCTCTGAGAATCCACCATAAAAAATCATGTGAAGAAGTGTCATGTCATATAAGTGAGATAATCCCATCAGCACGGCGATCATTCATGGATAAATTTAAAAGCGCAGGGCACCGTAGCAGGTTTATGAGGAGCCTAATTGACAGATGTGCAGGAACATACACCGGAGCAAAGCAATATTCCTCCTTAAAGGGAGGTGAGCCATAGGGAATGATGTATAGTCGGAATGTAGATAAATATTTTTAATCAGATTGTTCCAGTCATTGCGATTAAATATAATGAAACATGTTGATTTTTGCAGGCTCTGTAGATTCGTATAGCTTCCTCCCCATGCTCATACCATCACGTCGGTCTGTTGAATTTACGCCTCATGTTGTGTTTAAGTTTGTGTTACACATACAGTATATCAGAGTGATTTTCCATCACCTGCCTAGCTGTGTGGCAATAAGTGGAAGTTGGACCTGACAGTAGGACAAAAACGTAGGCTACAGCTTTACTCCCTCACAGGACATTGTAAAAATATTTGGAATGCAGACATTTTGTTAATGATCATCTCACACAGAGCAGAATAATAGCAACGTTCAATGAGGGGATGTGCATCCAACCACAGCGGTGATCCTGCCCCTGATTGGTTCTTAGCTAACAATAACTAACATCTACTTAAACAACCTTGGCTCGATTGCCCTCAGAATGCCGGCTTTCTGTTGGGAAATGTTCTGCAGTTGAGCTTAAAGTCACTTGATGGTTATTCAATGATTAGCCCAGGGTGTGTGTGGACCATCAAATATACTCATAAGTCATAAAACGGGATGTGAGACGGGCCGCTTGCGTAGATGGAAGGAGGACATTCTTGTGACACAGCCAAACAGGAAATCTCCATGATGGCCACATCTTGTCTAATCATGCTTTTTCTTATGAAGAATTTACAGTGCTTTCATGTGCAATTACCTGATCCACATCCTTGTGTTGTTTTACTGCAGAGAGATTTTTTTGGACTGTCGCCAAACGCTGAACAAAATAACACTGTACACAGTATGCAATACATTATAGAGAAACTAATGGCAAGGTCATCCAGATCTAAATATACATATATATATAGATATAGATATATATATCTATATCTATAGATATAGATATAGATATAGATATATATATAGATATATCTATATCTATATATATACTGTATAAACATTGTGTTATTCTGGCGATTGCACAATGTAAACAGGGATATGTTAACCTTAGTTTGAACTCTGCGGTTTAAAAAATGAGAAAGGATCGTTATTATAAGATAATCCTTGGTTTAAAAAAACATGATATATCTGACACTCACTACAAAACTAAAAATACAATCAATACCCATTTTAAAGCATATTTGCTGTTTATCAGTGTGGCGACAGACAGGAAAGCGAAAATGTTGCATGGATATTTTATTTTCAGCTTCATCTTCTGCACCATGAAGCAGGACGATCCTGCGCATTCTGGAGTTTGGTGTTCGTGGATACAGAATTGTATTATATATAGTTGCTGCTATTCCTCCACATGCCTGGAATGAAAGCAGAGATCATTGGATTGATTGAGAGAGTTGGGTAAAAAAAAAAAAAGTTTCAAAATGTGTGCTCACATTACCCAGGTGTTCTGTATTCCTTTACGTATCAAAACTGGTCCAAAGGAGCGAGCAGGATTAGTACCACATCCAGTGAAACTTATCTGTAAATGGCAACATGTTAGGCCTATCAGGTTATTCAACAAATTCTTATCCTGGAATGGAATTGTTCATGTTAGCAGTTTGGGAATATCCATTTACAAGTGCAAGCCATTCCTACATAATCAGTTTGTAAAATAGATACTTGCAGTATGCCAATGACAGAAACCCCTCACAATACAGTAGCCATGCAGTTGTAGTTGTAGTAGTTTAGGCGATACTTTCAGATGTGCTGATTCACCAAAATACATCATTTTTATACCATGTTATACTGTATATCTCTAATTCTTCCATGGCTATATTGCGTGTTTAGTTTTGGCACCTGCGATCTGGGCAGTGACCGATTTGTACCTCTCTGCAAGTGGCCTTATGTTTCCAGGAAAACACACTTATAAAAACAGTGATTTCCAGCCACTTCTCAAAGTTGACGGTGCTAATTTGTTTTCAGCCTTCTATGACACATGCCTTTGCAACTGTAGTGCCCGCTTCCTGAGCCGCTAGCACATCAGCCGCACAACACTGCAAAATTACGTAATGTAGCAGAGAGAAAGTCCTGAATCATTTCCACCACTTTTCTAAACACAGGAAAGCCATATTGGCAAAGAGAAGCAGTGGACCCTCACCAATACAGACTGAACAGGATATTTGCTTTACTACACTACAGATAGACAGATAAAAAATATCAGGACCCTTTGACAAAAAGCTTCACCAAATTGTTATTTAGTACTCTTATTGAGTAGTGCTTTCATTTTGTCCACCCGCTGTTATTAAAATGAACTCTCTGTGTCTGTCCTTGCTCGGTTGTGAGCGCTGTATCAAAGAAAGTAAATCTGCCTCCTAAAATAACTAAAGGTCCTCCTGAAATGAGAGATTTCAGGATTAGTCAGGATTAATCTACAGTTGATTTTGTCAAAACTGCTGAAAAATTCAACCACAGATTTCAGAATTATAGGATTGTGATTCACTCAGATGCAGCTGCAAAGTACCCGAGTCCCACTGACAGCCCAATAGCCAGCGGCGTAAAAGTCTTTAACATCACTCGCTTATCAGTCACAGCTATCACACACACAATAAGCTGAAGGGTGGCAAGGAACTCGATGACAAAGTGTTTTTTAAGAGCACTTTCCTGTGAAATGAAAGAAAACAAATGGACAAGGATAACCCAAGGACCAAGCAATTCACTGGGGCTATATCCATTCTCAAAAGCACTTGTGGCAACTGCTCCAAGCATCTGAGCCAGGATGTAGCACGCACGCACACACACACACACACATCTCAGCGGTCTGATCTGGAAGCTGACCAGCAGCGCCAAGGTGACTGCAGGGTTCAGGTTTGCTACACTGATGTGCCCCCAAACTCTGAACCAGAGTGGCGATGGCCAGTGAAACCTTCAGCTCCGGCGCAACCCTCTCCTCAATATCTTTTCCAAAAATATCTGAGATGCCACAGCCCTCCAAAACCCTCCTTTTTTAAAAATGTTTATATCTGTCATGTTGGCTTCAAATGTGTTTGGTGTGTCAAAACCCAATGTGTCACATACTTCAGGATTCATAGAGAAGAGGTTTGTGTGCAGATGGGAGGACAGAAGAGAAGATGAAGCAGGACAAAAGATTTCTTGTCACACATTTGAGCATCATAGAGACGATGAAACTCGTGTTGAAAAAGCATTTTATTTGACACAAATAAGCAGCAGTATACAGTAGTAATTTCCATTTAGACTGGCTCCTTTGACCATTTTGCATCTCTAGTGTTCTCCAGAAGGGGCTCCTGGGTTTCATTTTCCGGTGATGAGCCACTGCAGAATAACACCCTTGCTTTTTCACTCAAGGGCTCGTCTCTAGGTGCCAGTAGATAATTATAAAGAAGAGCTGCCACCACACCAGCACTCATTGGTCCTGCCCAGTATACCTGAAAAACAAATAACAGGACAGACACATCCCTGTTTCAAGAAGAATGAGTCATGAATACAACACTTGGAAAAATATCTGATAAACATCTCAACCATAAATACCCATTGATCATCAAAAGATTCCAGTATGATTGCAGGCCCAAAGGATCGAGCTGGGTTGATACCGCATCCTGTGTAGCGGATCTGTAAACCATATCAGAGGAAAACACCACTTGGCTCTCTAGCTACACAGCAGCAGATTACATGCAAGCCTGATTTACAGCCAGGTTCATCCTACGCAAATCCATTGTATCGGGCCACGGCGAGATGGGGAAACCATCTACCAAACTAATGAAAGGGGAAATGAAGGAATGTTTTGATGTACTTACCCCAGCAAGGTGTCCCAACCCCACAGACAGTCCGATAGCCAGAGGTGCGTATCCACTGACATCACGCCTTTTGTCAGTGACTGCGAGCACACACAGGACCAGCTGGAGGGTGAGCAGGAATTCTATGACATATCCTTGACCTGGGCTGATTCCATTTAGCTGCAAAGAAGAAAAACACTTTTTTCACCTCTTTGTGCATGAACAATTTTGCTTAAGGGATTCTTTTACTTCAGTTTCTGCAACACTTGAAGAAGAAATATCCTTTAAGAAACAACCAAAAAAAAAAAAAAAAAATCCAACAAAACAATACAAACAAGTTATCCTATAAACACTCCCTGAAAAGAGAAGGCCCTGTTTGTTGGATGGCAGCTACAAACCAGTGATAATTTAAAATGACATTTAAAATTGAACAACTTATCTCCAGCAGTTGAGGTCTTAGAGAGGAGAACACAAAACTTCAGACAATGAGTTGTCTGGCTTTTACAGAAAACTAGGTCAGACTGGAGGCAATTCCCCAAATGCCTCTCAAATAGGAATACTAAATGTCACTCATTGAGACAAGCATTACTCAGGAAAAATTAGAAGCACATGGGTTCCACCTTACCTTGTTAACACCAAGAGAATCTGTGGTTTCTGGCCTAATACCATACACAATGGCACTGCCAGCCACTGCTCCTAAAATCTGAGCTACGATATAGAAAAAGGCTCTGAGGACACTGATCTGGCAGCTGGACAGGATGCCCAGGGTGATGGCAGGATTCAGGTGGGCACCACTAATGTGACCTATACACTGGGCTAATGTGGCAATGGCCAAACCAAAGGCAAATGCCACTTTTATCTCCTGGTCAGGGTAGGTGTTATTTTTGTCACCTATTGCCGCTGAGAGGCCGATGAAGATAAAGATGATCATTCCCAGAGCCTCAGCAAGAGCTGCCCTCCAAAATGCCCACGTTTTAATTTCTGACATGGCCACTTGGATGACCTTATGCTAACAAGCAGTATTTGAATGATACACCAAGATTGTGGCACAAGCAGAGATTTGGTTCCACCAGCAGCCCAACTGAAAACATCATGAGTGACGCTCATCAAGTGTGTGTGTGTGTGTGTGTGTGTGTGTGTGTGTGTGTGTGGCTTTGAAGAATCAGGCCTGATTAGAAACAGCTGAGAGATACGCATTTCAGCCAGTGAGAGTGACCTCCACGTCTCCTGCTCTGTTCGGTACTTTTCCAGTTTAACAGAAGGCATAGCTGCGTTCGCTGTCGTTCACAGCTCATTTAAGACCAAAGCAAACTGTTACATCATGTCAGATGAGGTGTTGAAATGGATGATTAAGAAAACATGTTCAAATAAAGTATAGGTTAAATTGGTTAAAAAAAGGAAAAGGTGACGGTTTAAGTCCAGTATAACACATACAGCTTGGACGCATAATCTATTCCATGGTTGAGTCAATTATAAAATTGTATTTTTTTATTATTGCTCTAATATAAAATTTAAAATATAAATTCCAAATTATCCAGGAATTAAAAAAAAAGCAATACATCTTAAAATTAAGGGCTATATTTTCAATATTTATCTAAATTCCAGTCACGTGAAATATTAAAGGTGTGAAGGACATCCATCAGATGTGTGAAGGACACTCCCAGTCAAAAGTCTGTGGAAATGGTTTTCCTATCTTCCACTCTACTTAATCTATTCTGAGCGTGTGTCATTGCAGGGCGGGCTGCACTGAAGTTAAAATCAGTCACATGTCATGTGAAGGAAATGGGACCTTTTGAATTCACGCCAAGGAAACCAGTCTCTCATTCTTCTTTTCTGTGTGGAAGAGCTGGCAGGTCAAAGGATCACAGTGCTTCTTGTCTTCTTGTCAAAAGAAAGAAAAAGAAGCCCGTCAAAGCGTCACCTTTGACTTGGGCCACAATGCCTCGTTCCAAAAGAAGAACACATCCACATTTTTCTTTTTCTAACAAATGTAGTTTTACTTGCACCTTACACCAGACTTTTATTCAGTTTTTGGTCTCTATCTATTGTCAGATAAAAAATCTGAAATTTGATTGAGATTTCCAAATATTTAAAACCACACAACAAATATATTGCAGTTTTGACTATATGTACAGTAGCATTTGCAGACATTATAGAGATGACAGCATAACTGGGAGTGTATAAGATTCATGTTGTCGGAGGAGCAGGATGGAGGAGGAGTAACCACGTGGAAAACTGACAGGGAGGACAAAGGTTACGCTTTCTAACCCTGTGAGCAGGAGCAGCTCTGTGGCCCTGCCAACTCACTACTGCAGCAAACTGTCAACTAACATTTCACTTATTGCAGAAAAAAAATCCCCGCTGTTTTTTTCCCCATTGGCACATGTGTATCTGATACTGTACTACTCTACTGGAGAGCATTTCATAACCCCCACCTCCACCCCAGCATCCACCTGTGGGCTCTCTCTGAGTCTACATTCCCCTTGGAAAGACGTTGGCATCGTCCCTCCCTGCTCCATGCTATGCACCTGGAGTTTCCTTGTAGGGAGCGAAGAGGTCAGAGCCCAGAGGACGAGCATCAACTCTCTACATATTCTTCATTCACACAATAATCTATTCTATATGAGATGGCTAACTGAGGTTATGCTATAGTGCGATTATCATATTGGCCACCAAGTCAGTGCACAGCTGGGTATGATTTCATCAAGTGGGTGTGACTTATTTCCAACCAGTTGATTGCTTGGAGAGAAGGAAGACTTTCAACTGACCAGCGTTGTCTCCGGTTGAGGACAGTTTTAGACCCCAGGAGCACCTCATCACATGAGTGCCCTCCGATCACCCACGATGACCCCTACCATCCCCCCCGCTGCCTTTCAGATGTAAATAAGATACAAACACGACTCATTCCCCAAATCTACTCTTCCAGAGGCATAAATAACCTCACGATGCAGGTGTTCTGAAGAGCCCCACTGTGTGGAGCCACATTGGTTTATTATCGTGGCCTGTCATGGGAGTTAGACTTTAACTTAACTTGAGAGATTATAGGATGAACACAGAGTATTTAGTCATGCAGAAGTAGAGGCAAGTCAAGTATATAATTAATATGTATGCGGGTCTGTTAAGCAGAGTGAAATGGAACCTACAGCTTCAAAGGTTTTCCCTTCTAGTTGCTCAAAATGAGTGAAAACATCATAACATAGTGCAGATACACAAAGTGTGGCCACAGAAAAAAACATCCAAAAATGAATTGAAGATTGTTGAAATGGGGATGAATGTGTTTCTGATGTTCAGTTAGTCCAGTTTGGATTTGTTGGATCATCGCAAGCAGTTTATTCAGAGTCCAGTTCCAAGCTGGAGTTGAGTCCACAGATTACAGGAGCACTGATGGGAAAAAGACTCTGGTGCTTTTGCTTAAATCAGGCACCTAATCACATATTATATCCCCATCACATATTTCCCATTGCATATTTCTGGTCATGGTCTGTCACCACCCACAATGACATCAGCTGTTTGTGTAAGGGACAGCACATATAACTGATAAGCAAAGATGAATCAATACTGCTGCTACAAAATTGTACATTGTTCATTTGTCAGACTAGATGTGATTCATGTTAGTTATATATATATTAGATAACATGATATTAATATAAAGTATCTTTGTGACCTAACAGGTGCACGGCAGAGAAGAGGAGCTAAAGCAAACCATTAAAGACGCCATGAAATGTGGACTTGAAATTCTGAGAAAAATCCTGCTTCTTTGAAAACCGGCTGTGTGCCAGCTGTGCAACCTTTCAGAGGCACTATATAATACTGAGATTCACAGAAAACTGCTCTCTGGAAAAACAGTGATTTTCAGTGATGATTTCACCCTGCATTGGTTGGTGTAGATAAAAAAATGGAATCAAAATAGCCATCACAATCTGGCGCTCCCACCCCTCTTGTCAAACTGCATTGGGTCTATATGAAGGAAGGTTTTGGCTTTATGCCACAAAACAGGTGGATGGAGAAAAACAGAAACAGCAAGACAGGATGAAAATCCCTCATACGTGCATCTTAAAGAAAGCCACAGTTCTCAACACAAGCCAAGGGATAAAGTAACTGAGCAGGACAGTAGGTTGGGCCCATTTTTTTTCTGACACCACTTTTGCAAACCCATCAATTTTGCTTAATGGGCAATGAAAGTGCACTGAGACTGTGTTGTCTGGATAGTTTGTGCAAACCTGTATTTGCCAGTGTTTGGCATTCAGCGCCAAAACATACTATCATAGTGTTTTTTTTGTATTATCTCCAAAAATGGAGGAGCGGGACAAAGAGGTAGTAATGTCATTTGGTGGACTACCTGAATAAAACATCATCCAGGATGTCCAGTTTGAGTAACAGATTAGTTTGAAGGCTTAGCAGATGCCAAAACACAGAGCAGTGGGTTACAATACTCAGAATTTGACAACTCTGTAAAGGTATCATGGTGGCAACTACCTTATCTTTTGTTGCAATGATCTAGTAAAAACCAGACTGTGCCATTCATATTACCAACCAGCCACTGGGGTTGATTGCATCTCCACTAATCATAGTAATCATAAGCACCTCCTAGCCACATGTTCAAGTGTCCTTGGTCAAGACAACAAATCCCAAATTGCTTCTGAGCATTAGACCAGCACCTTTCATGGTATCTCGCTTTGGATAAAAGCAAACTCTTTAAATGCAGCCATTTAACATTGTTAGATTGCCAAATGATGTCACATTGCAGTTCTGCATGTTTCTGCTGGAGCCCTCTGCACCCCCACTATGTCACTGAACTGGCTCCATTCAAGTGAAAGAGAGCACTGCATTTTTTCACGCTTTTCTGAATGTAGCGATAAAACACCCGCCAGTGATCCAGCTGTTGACTGCCCAGTAGGGAATTTGTTGAGGAGTGGTGCTTATAATGGTTCAATCCAATGCTCACGCAGCCATGTGAACCCACATGTACAGTATGTGCTGTGCAGAGGCCCCAGTGGAAGCAGTGGGTGACCTGCTGGCATATGACCCAGCATACTGTACTAGTGAATCTAAAAGTTGTTAAAATGTGTTGAGTGGCCAACTGCCTCTAGCCTTTTTGCTAGCTGAAACCAAATCAACAATTCCATTAGGATAAGTAGGTGCCCTAATGGGTCACCTCTATGCTTTATCTGCCTACCTTTCTGCCCTAAACCAACAACAAAGACACATTAGCAACCTATGTATGACTCTGTTCACTACTCAGTCTTTTTCTTTCCTTTTCCAGTGACAAACTGCATGAGCTGACCAGCAGACCCATGGGGGAGTGAGTGAGAAGCAGGGAGAGGGTGTGTCAGAGCAATCTGTGCAGTTGGCCCTGGCAACCTGCTACTGGATGGTCCAACTGCTGAAAAAACAAGTGGGAGAAGCTATCCATCAATCAGCAGCAGGAGCTGGGCGGCACAAAGAAAACACAAGATAGGAAGTGTAGCAGAGTAGCTTGGAACACTATTTCGACTAATATTCCAGACTAGATAAGGATTTGCACCGTCATGGTGTGTTAGAGTTGACAATGCTGTTAAATCATCACACGTGTAAATTCTGTAGGCTATTTAGTTACAGAGATACACTGGAATCGGCATGCACCCTTAAGTGTAAGTATAGGTGTATGTGGGATGAGGAGGATTGCCAGTTAAAATTTAATCAGGCCCACATAAATAATTTTGATTGTGGGTATATTCACTAATATAACCAATAAAAAAAAATCAACATTTGTGTTTCTTAACTGAAAATATAGGCCTGTTTATTACAGGGCCATACTAATTTAAAGACCAGTCAAATAATTTGAGCGTGATTGCAATCTTTTTCTTTTTTATATGGGGTGACATTTTTTCATCACGGATTGTGTCTTTATTTCTCTGTCTACTAATAAACAGCCATTGATGTGTGCTGTTAATTCTTCGATTTTACACACTTTACACACTTTACACAATCATGAAGTAGCTAGCTTCC